ATTAAGCTTTTTTGTCTATCCAGACTTCTGCAGATGGTTTAAAATAATTTGGTGACTAACTCCCATTTTCTGGGCGAGGTCCCGTTATGCCACATACCGGTCTTATTCGATATTTTCCATGATTTTTTCCATGATTTTTTCGGTATTCGTCGTCACAGATCTTCTGCCGGCTGGCCTATCCATAGTGTCGTTTTCACCAGCTCCGAATCATCGAAAACACTCCTCCGCAGTTCGAAGTGATAGAGTACTATCCCCCAAGACACCATTAATTTCACGGAACGTTTCTCTAGCGGGATTGCCTTTAACGAAGGAAAGCTTTAAAATAACGCGAATTTCGGCGTTAGTGAACTCCATGTTTATACGTTTATAACTGTTGAACACAATATCCAACCTAATTATGCATAGCGTCGTTTCGTAGGCTATATCAAGACCTTTCAAACGATGTATAGTGTCGGCAGATAGGAGCTCTGTAACACTTTATACATAGCCGCGAGTTTCAAAAAACAAAAAGGCAGAAGGGAGTTATTTGACAACCTAATATTAAAGAGATTATGCACTTCAGATAAAATAAACCGAATTGGCTAAATTTAAAGAAAATATTAAATTGATCGAAAATCACTATATTAGAGAGATGAGGTGTATACCAATTCCATTCTAATTAATAAAATGTGATGGTATAATTGCTAAGCGCAGTTTTGGCCACTTTTAATATATCATGTTTTATAATTGCTTTTGCTTACAATTTAATCGTGGAAAGATAAACACAAGAACAAGGTGTACAAATCATTCAATTTTTTATCAAAATAATCGTTCTCCAATTGCAACTCTTCGTGTCCGTTTGCCATTTAATGGTCGTAACTATCGTCCTCCAATAAGACAAAGAACTGCTCGAAGTATGAAAATATTGCTGCTGTTCACGCAAAGTTTGGTAAAGATCGTGGTTGGGACTGTCGCGTACAACAACCTGGCGTATTTGGAGTAAAGATTTTGGCTTGCATCGGAATAAAATTGCTCTCCTTCAAGACTGGAAGCCACCGCAAATGTTGTGAATTTGTTGATTTTGGCTTGGAACAACTTGAAAACGATAAAAAATTTTGTTTGTGCTATTTCCTGGAGGCTATTTGAACGATATTATATTCAGAACTACTTAGTGTGTTTTTGAAATAGAAATCATATCAATGGAAAATACTAGTAGTTTTGAACAGTATGGGAAGTGTGCGGAGTTATCATTAAATTTAATTCATTTTCACACTATTTTTAGTAGTTCTTAGAGTATTTGGCCTAGGTGAATTTGGTTTTTGTAGGTTTAGCGGCTTAGGAGATATTTATGTACAGTAAACCTATTGGAGAAAAACCGAGTAGTAAATCTTTAGATGGATAAATTATGTAAAGTTAAGAGTTATATTGAAGTGCTCAATATGTTACGTATACGCCCTGTCGTACCACGTAATGTGATACATGTGCTTATTTGCTATTGTTTTGAAGGTGTTTTCACAAATATCAAGAATCTGCATTCCACTCAAATAACAAAATGCCAAATACAAACAAAAATGCTGAAATTTTTTTAATTATTTATGTTAAGCAGTACTAAGTTGGTTAGCATAAATAAATAAAATAAAATATTGCTATTGGTAAATTTATTGGGAAAATAATATTATTCATTATTTGGTTGTATGTCAGTGGTGAAATAAGTTACTATCTGTTGGATCTTATAATGCTGTAAAATCAGTTCCATAATACTGCCCGCCTTAATTTTATATGAAAACATTTGTTGCTTCCTACCAAATACTTCAAAATACTTTTTTCGTCATAACAGACCTTGTTATAACGAATGTGTGCTGCAGCACCACTGGTCAATTACTCTCACTCATATTATATCTTTCTAGTTAGAATATACTCATTTTTCCTTGCTCACTTCTCTCTCTGCGATGTTTTCTCAACTCAGCGACCAAGCGACAAAGTCATTAACATAACCATCAAATGTTTACTATCATACATTCTTATCACTGAGGTTCGTATAAATTGCCAAATGGTCTCATTACGCCTCAAATGACTGTACTATTTTAACAGCTAGCGCTGGTGATAACGCCCCACTCATATATATTTGTCTACATTTGCATTTGTTGTGATTTAACAGCGAGAATTTACAGTGCTCTTAGCCCGCAGAAAAACTCAGTGGTTTGTGGTATAACCTGTTGGTTTTTGTTTGTTGTTTATTATTGTAATTGGGCAAGGCAGGCCCCTTGAAGAATAAATGTTATAATACATATACAAAAATTTTGGTAACTATTAACAGTATAAGTAGCAGAGAAATTTTCCGAGAAACAGGAATGTTATTGAGTATAGAATGTTAACGGAACGTGGTTTACAGTGTGCCAAAGGTAAAAGTATATTTTCATTTAATTGAAGAGGCTGATGATTGCACAAATTCTTAAAATAATAAACCTACTTTGTCAGAGAGATCTTGGTATCGGAAGTGTTTGGGACATTCAAAATCAAATTAGGGATATGTAGGCATTTTAATCTAAAATTTATACTAAGGGGTTATATATAATTATAATCAAGTGTTTTTTAAATTTTTTTTTGTCTTTATATGTATATATTCTTAATGTGCATGTATTTAAGAAACACACAGAAAATGTGACATCGTTGCGGTGAATATTTTTGCAGTTACAGTCAAATTTGAAAAGGCGTTTCAGGAAGTGCATTCCAAACTTTAAACGCGTTTTTCTCAAAATGGTGTTTTCAAAGTCATTGACCAACATTACTCGAAAACGGCTAAACCGATTTGTCTCAAATTTTAACACGAGTTTCTCAAATATATTCTTTTGTACTTAATATAAAAATTTTTTTTGATTAATAAATTTTTTTTTATAAATAATTAAAATTCGAAATTTTGGTCAAAATCGCTTTTTTTAGAAACCGTATTCTGTCAAAAAAATTTATTTCGCTTATTCATTCAATTAATTTCTATATTTAACGAAACTTTAATGAGATCTGTTTGCTTTTTTAATTCATAGCATAACAGAGGATTCAGTTCAGAGATGTTGTGATCACCATCTGTCTTATGGTCTGAGGGGAGTAAACCTTAGCGTGGTTGTAAGTAATGGAGATGGGGATCTATCAATTCCTTCTTGGGACATAATATACTCATCTACCATTTACTTTTCTTTGAAAGAGATATTTATTTTAATTAAAAATGTGAGTTGAACATCTTTTATCTCTTTCTAACAAGTTTCTTCCTATATGTATATTGTTATGTATCCAGTTATTCCCCTCACCCTACACACCATATTCCGTACGCTTGCCAACACTTAATCTCTATTTCTCCTTGTCTCCCATCTCCTATTGCAATAATTATCATCTCGTCCACTCCACCCGCTATTCGCTTCAAGTAGGCTATGTGCATTTCAATGTAACTAGAATAGTTTAGTTCGATTTTTGAATTGCTGAAATAAAGAACTCGCTTTACATACTTAACTATATACATACATAGATATGTATGTAGTTGGCTAGTTTTTTTCAAAATTTCTTTGAAGAAATGTGCACTTTCATTCATTTTTTAACATCATCTACCACCTCAAACTATGCATATTGCATCCACCAAATTAACCAATAATATTGGACTTGTTAATTGGTCTTCAATAAGCAGAAACCAAGGACAACATTTTTGCTGTTAAGAGCAACTTACCATTTCTCTATACCGCATCAAGTGCTGCTGTTGAGGAGTGGTAATGTAAAATGTTCGTTGCTAACAACTGTGTACACATTATTTGTTGTTAAAATGCTGCTCTGAGGCTATCCTGTTAAAGGTGAATAATGTAGACTTGTTAAATGTTGTTTCTGTAAACTGTACACGCAAAACTGTATAACAACTGTAGAATTTCTCAACTGAAATGGTAATCGTCCTTCTGTGTTTTCACTATTCTGTTCTGTTAACAGCTTTCTCTGCTTATTTTGTCAAAGTCTGCTCATTGCACCGCTGTTACGCCACCCACTAATAGCAGTCGCTGCCTCTGCTACTGTCGCTTTTGGGGCAAAACACAGTTGTCTTTGCCAAATATGTTAGAACTTGCGCTGTGCGGCGACTTGATTTCAGTTGCCTTCGACATACTGACGGTGACGGTTGCTGTTAACGGGATTTTCGCCGTTCAAAATGCAATTGAGTGTAGAACAAAAGTGTTTTCTCTGCTAATCATACATTATACCTTTATGTGTAGAATATGAAATGTGCTGTAAATAAATAAAATTAATAATTACACCGAATTTACTTGCAAATACTGGAATTTATTAAGTTTAAAAAGTTTATATATTAGTGCAAACCTTCCACAAATATATATGTGTGTGTGTGCATCTAACTTCTATTATGACATAAGGAAAATTAAAAAAATGCAAGTGCATGCGTGCGTACTTTAATACCATATAAACCCGGTGGCATCAGTTGCCCAACAACTCCGAAAGTGCTTGGATTTTTTCCTTGTTGTTGGCATGCGGTTTTATTTAATTTTCTGCTTATTGTTATGTTGTCATCTTTGAATTTTTGTGCAGCTGTTTTGTTGTGATTTTAATGTGGCTCCCACTTTCTGCGCAGCAAATGTGCCAGTTTTAAGTGCCGCTACGTGCTCAAGTATTCAAATCAGCTGCGGCGCTGTTACTAGTTCAACAGCTTTGCATTTCGCTAAGCTAAAAGAAACGAAAAAAAAAGTCACGTTTTTATGTGCGTATGCGTCCGCCTCCTGCCCTTTGTTAAGTAGGAACAGTGCCGGAGTCTTAGGCGTGCGCGTGCAAGCATAAATTTCCTTGACTTAGAGTCGTGGGACGGCAAGTCCAGGCGCGTTAATTTTATTGCTTGCATTCGGCTATAAAATGTAAAATTGGCGTATGCAAATATATAACATCATAATAAAGGCGCCTAAATGTTGCCGACCCGCTGTCGTAAAGTGAAAATATTGATGTGCATGTGAAAAATTGTGTCGGTGAAAAACAAAAAAATTTGAAGTAAACACTTCGGGTGTGATATCCTTAGGGTCCCAAAGCTGCCGCAGTGGCATTAAGCAGCAATTATTTAAAAAATTGTGACGATAACCTCTAGCTAAAAATCTGTTATAAGCGGAGTCTTCCCATAAAAAGGGTAGGTGAAAATAGTTGTATTTGACAACTAATTTGTATAAAGTATAATTATTTATTTGTTGCACACGAATATAAATTTATTTTCATATACACGTATTCTGAGATTACGCTTGAGTTGTTTATATATTTCCTATTGATGATTAATTATTGATTATGGTAAATGACCTAGTGAATGCCTTAGGGCTATGAAACCCATATTGCAGAATAACCAACCCTTCCAGATAAAATTGTATATTTTTTCTTTAATAAATAGATTATAATAAAAACAACACAATGAATATATTTATTTACAGAAAGACCTAATCACTCTTTTTTGCAGTTATTTAAAAATATAAAAAAAAATAAACATTTTTGGCATTAAATTGTTTAACAATTTTTTTGTAAAGTTTTTATGAGACCCAAAGCATTTGAGGTAGTGTGAATACGACAGATACAGTAATGGCATATAACAAAGCCAGCTTCACAAGTGTGTCTTGGATACGGTTTTAGTCTACTCCAAAATTGGTACTAAATCTTAATATTTAATAATAAAATACCCCAAATTTTGAGGGTTATATAATACATGTTTATTATATTAGGTTGTCAAAAAAGTCTTGCGCTATTTTTGCGGTATTTTTTATTGAATTTTCAATTGTTCATAAATTTTTTTTTTTGATGACTCATGCCCAGCTCTTGACCGATGCTACGGCTGCTACTATGCCGGTCTCTTTCGATCAATTCAGCGATTTTATCGCAATTTTCGACGACAGGCCTTCCGGAGCGTGGCGCATATTCGGCCACCTCTACACCAGAACGAAAACGTTGAAACCATCGTTGTGCGGTGGAAATGGAAACTGTATTGGGTCCATAAACTGCACAAATTTTATTGGCTTGAGATGCATTTTTGCCTTTATCATAGTAGTATTGTAAAATATGCCGTATTTTCTCTATATTTTGCTCCAGGTTTGCGACGCTACACCCCACGAATGACTTAAAAGAAACGACAATGAATCAAAAACGTATTAGCGCGTGAAATGAGCTTTCCAAAAAGGTATAGCATGACCCGATGTGACGAATAAAACTAGTCTTTTTTGACAACCTATATATATACTGCGTCAGATTATCTATATTAGTTTTCGTATTATACATTAGACAGGTTCTGAGCCCACAATAATGGAGAATCAGGCGAGCAGCCCTAAATCTCTTAACGTGTAGATGAAACTAATACTTTAGTTGTATGATTGCCGAAGAATTAAAAATCGTTTCAGGTAGTTCGTTTAAGACTTCTGAATAGCTTATATTATAGACTCACTTGAATTAAAAAATAAAATAATTAATAAAAGAAGAGTAAACAAATATTTTTTTTCCGCTGTTATTTAAAAGATAATCTACCATAAGGATAATTTCAGTTCTGTGATTGCTCTTACCAGACTAACAGAATCGCTCTCTGCAGTCGCATCGTTTAAGATTTGTTTATATTTATACGTTTACATTTATCGAACATTTTATGTAAACATGATTTTTCTAGTTCAAAATGGTACCGCAATGGTTTCAGTTGACTTAAATTGTTGGTAGCAGACAGAAAGTTTATGACGGAGATAGTCTGTCAGATTTCACTTACAAAACTTAAATCCGTATTGAGTGAAATGTTTTATGGTATTATACTGACTTTTATGGAAGAATTTTAACTTTACATTTACATTTAACAAGGCTAAACGAGAGCAAATTTGTCTTTTAGAGTTTAACATAATTATTTGAAGCTTCTTAGAACAACAAAATCACATACTATTTCAGTTCAGTGAGAGAGATATGTTAAAGTTTCGTACGAACTAGTCTATTGATACTCCGTCACAAGCTTTGTTTGGATTTCGGGCTTATAAGAACAACCAAACTGATTGTTTTCTAGATTTGTTGTAGATAGTTGAATTAGCCAAATATGAAAAAGATTTATATGCTGGTGCGGTTCGCTATTTTTTTTTTTTTTGTTTTTGTTCCAAGAATTTAAAGATTCTATCTATTCTCATTTCATCATTATTGCCCGAATGAAATGAAATACTTAAATTTTTTGACAGCTGTTATATGGCAAACTTGCGGTTTTTAACTGAGCGTATGTTTGGTACTATTATACGCTCTTTGGAATAAATAAATACATATATGCATATTACTTGTGTATAAACTTATACAGAAGCCACTTACAATTTCTCCGTTACTTGGCTGCTACTTTTGCGGGCGAAACAAAACAAAGAAGAAACTTTCAACCAAACCAGTAACAATGTTGTGACTGTCATGAATAAACTTTTGCCGAATTTCGCTTCATAACGCAACGTTAGTGTATATATGTATGTGTACATATGCATATATATATGCACTGTAAACACAACTTATAAATTATTTAACAAAAGTTACAGAACAAGTAGCAAAGTGTCAATCCTTCTGCCTTGTCAGTTGTCTTGCCTTTAGCACTTCCTGTCTGTCAGCCAATGAAAGTTGTGTGACCCAATTGACTGCTAATAAAGTGCTCACTTTCATAGTAAACTATTTATTTGTCGCTAAACTATTGATTGAATAGTTCGTTGATGAAGTTTGGATACCCAAAAGTTTAAGTTCAACAAGTTTACATTAACTCGACGCACGTACTATGTGTATACTTAGGGTGTCCGTTATTTCCCACAATAATTCTACCTTTTAAGCTGAATGTATAATTTTAACTGGATATAATTTTAAAGATTTGTTTTTATGAAAAAAAAATTGTAAAGACCTTTTTTGTAGAGCAAACAGTTTTTTTATTAGATTATCAGTTTTTCTAAGTATTGAATTTATTTGTTTTGGAGATATTGCAAAAGATTAAAAGAACCCCACAAAAAATGTAAGAGATATGTAAAATGATTAAGGCATGATTTAGATTTAAAATAAATAGTTTCTTTAAGTTGAATTCTGTGTATAGGACAACTATTGAACCTTCAGGCGGCGTTAGTAAACAAACAAAACTTTGGAAATATTGGGCACTCCCTTATATAAGTATATAGTATATACAAAATATGTTAAGCATTTAAGGCACATAATTCTGTGGGCACAAATCTGAGTAACTTAAATTAATTTTGACAAAAATCTGTAGAGGCAAAATTAGGCAACGAAATTGTGCGTTTAGCGTCTTGTCGAAAAGTAGTGAGAAATGATTTACGCAGATTTTTTCATATAAATTGGCTGTAAAAGTAACTCTACTTTCTTAGAAATAGTGTTCCCTATAAGTTTCTTTAAACCACTTTCTAAGCACTTACTAAATAATTATATATAAAGTATTCTTAAAAGGGGTGATTCATTTCGAGGTTCCCTACTTTCTTAAAGAAAGAACATTCTTCGGATTTCTTTTTTTTAAGATTATCTCTTTTAAATGCTTTACTTGTTTACATACTCATAGAGCCAGAAAAGAACCTTATCGCTGACCAAAATTTGTCTCGAAAATGTCGGATCTTTTTGGTTTTTGGAACTTTTGAAGAGCCCATAGAGCGAAGCACTGTCACTTGGGCAGATCGCGCGGCTTCAGTTGCACAAGCTGTATTTTGTATCTCGACGTAAAATGCGCCAAGTCGTGCCATGCTTCTGTCTGAAATACTGCGAACGGTGTCGAATCGACTCTCCACGGTCTTCGTCGCTCTGTACTCTGTCTTTTCAGAATGTGAAATTTCATAAAAAAGTTGAACGATTTCTAAACGTTGTTCAGCTGTGAGTCTTTCCATGATGAAATGCCAAACAATACTTAACAAAAACATCATGACAGCTTGACACGACTCATGTGTGAACTGTCAAAAAAGGCTATTGAAAAAAGTACCTATACATGGAGCAGCCTTTAGAACTAGCGCATTCTCAGAAAGATTTCAACATAATGTAATCGAGATATAATATCAAGATGTTGAGCCTACTTCAACTAGATTACTGCATGCTCTCTTGTGCTGAATCGCACTGCCTAACTAAACAGCAGGTTTTAATTGTGGTGAGCAGTTAAGTAGAAATCGAACAAAAACTGGTGTAAATCTCGTAGACTGGCTTATGCAAACAGAATAAAATTAGTTAGTAGTTAGACCCACTTTACTTTGCTTTTTACTTGTATTGAATTGCACAGAATAACTTTCTTATTGCCGTCAAAGCTGAATTTATCGCCAAGTGAGTAGAACTTAAAAAAGTGAGTGTCTAAAGATTGCTTAAAACTGGTATTAAATCGCACAAAATAACTATGTTATTGTCCTCAAAGATAAATTTCACGACAAACGCGCAAAGCTTGCACAGAGCGAATGGCTTAAATTAGTATTCAAGGCGGCTTGTATATATATTTTTGCCTCTCACCGTAATTGTTCTCTGTTTAGTGCGCAGCCTATACTTGCATATTATAAGTGAAGTGCCATGCATTAAAAGTTTATTTTGCAAATAATATATTACGGAGAAAATTACTTAACTTTAAACGCAACCATACAGCTGTGGCGCAAAAGTTTACGTCGAAATCTGCTTAGTGTAATGAGTTTCGTATAATTACAATGTGCCTGCTGGAAGACGCAGCCGCCTGCGAGTTTGCTTTGGTACTTAAGCAATTTCAATTAAACTTAAAAGATTTGCAATTATCGGTGAAATTTGGCTTAACTGTCATTGACAGTAATAGCAGAGTTGATTTTTTGATAGTCAACTAATTTAACTATCCGTACTGACAGTCGGCATGAAACGAAAGAACCCAGAAATTGAAGTTTAGCGCCAATTTGGAGATTTCAAGTGTAGCCAGGTCCATCTCTACCTGGTCTTTCCAATGGAATAGTGGTCTTGCTCTTCCTCTTTTGTGACGAATACTTTCAGCGCTGCAGTGTTTTCATTCATTTGGACGACATGTCCTAGCCGGCGTAGCCGCTGTCACTTAGTCCGCTCAACTATGTCAATGTCCACGTATAACTCGTCGTTCCATCGACGGCGGTATTCGAAAACTCTCGAAAACTCGCAGCATTGACTCATCAGATGTTGCCTTCGTCAATGTCTTTGCGC